TGTCTTGTTTAGCTTTCTTTGTGAATTATGAAGTTTAGAATTTGAGGTCGTTATGGTGATTTATGGCTAGTACAACAATAAAATTTGGTGCAGAGGGTAATACAAGTGTCACTCCAGGGATGCCAAGCTTTATTTCTCAGCCACCAGTTTCCAATCCCATGTGATTCTCTCTCTCTCTCACACACACACTATTTGTAGCATATGATAAAATTGATTCCCGTTTTGATTGCTATTATGATTGGTGGAGATCTCAGTCCACTGTTTTTCTTCATTTGGAAATAGAATTGATGGTTTATAAGGATTTATGAAAGTTGGAATGAATTTCAAAGTGATTAGAAAGAGAAAGTGATGAGTTTGAAATGGTGGTATCACTTGTTAGCGAAATATCGTATCCGTGATTTTTCCTACTAATTTAATGTGCTGATATTGATGGTTACTTGAAGTTCTTGTGGCCTAACTAGTTTCACTGAGTCTGAACTTAGTTGAACCTCTATCTGAGTTCACTTTGTAGGATTTGGCTACCAGTTTTGAGGAATAATGATATAATTTGTGATTTTGTTATTAATGTTTTGGTTCCTATGGAAAATTGACCATGTGTTTGAATGTATGTGTGAGCCGGCGGATTACATCTTTAAGGATTTTTGCTGGCATTTGATGTCCTAATTCCGTGCATTTTTACACAGATTAACAGAAGAATGCTGTGTCTGCCATAATTATTTTTACTTTTATTTTCCCTGGAGTTCGTAATCATATCTATATCTGTTAATTTCTTGTGGGGAGTAAAATTTTTGAGAAAACGCAGGATTACCGAAGGAAATGCCCCTCAATCTTCTCAAATATCGGATTTTGGGGTCCTTGAGCAATATCTTGGATATCGGGTTGGCGATCCTTCTAGTATCAACAAAAGTAAGTTTCATGACTCTTCTTTTATCAAGTGTATCCTCATTTATAATCACTCTGTGTTGTTAATTTAAATGCTCAACATGTTTTATCCTTTTGGTTGACCATTGCTGTACATTTTGAAAGCAATAGGAGCTATTTCTCCCAGGTCAAAATTATTGTCAGTAAATTCTGATTTATTGTGTTAGTGCAAAATGCTGTTCATTCAAACAAGGATATCTAATTAAGCAATTAAAACATCATCTGATTGTATGAAGCATGGACATCCATTGGTGGAGACTGACCAGGAAAAGGAAGGATACATGAATTTTTCTTATAAGAATTATATTTAATAATGTTTAATCATGCCTTCCGTTTAATAAATTATTTATTACGTTTTGAAAACTGGTTGGTGGTACAGGTCCAATGTTTAATCCGACTGCAAATGGACAAACAGTTGGCCCTGATCTCCTGTCTAGCCCATTTGATAAGGTGAGTTTCACTTGATTTCGTGTTATTATTTTTTTTTCTTTTATTTTTATTTCTGAATTCTAAGTCTGATTTTCAATTTTCAGCTGACATTGTTGAACAGAACAGTTTGTGACAAAATAGTTGGTGTTTGTGATGTAGGCATTTGGTCTAACCAACACAAGTGTTTCGGGGGGTCGTGGGGGGCTTCAAGCAACAGAATTGCAAAAGAGTTCACAGCTGAATTTAGGTTCTTCTTCAAGTGCTCGACATGAAAACTGGGGAGAGTCAAACCATGCAGAGTCCAGCTCACGCACGGATACCTCGACTGATATGGACCCAGATGACAGAAATAAGGTGATTAGTTCTTCATCCAGCTTTTTTTTTTTTCTCTCTCTCTCTCTCTTTTAATATTTAAGAAGCATGTTTTTCACTTTAATTTTGTTCCCGGGAATTGTAATGAACAAAATAAAGTGCTAATGGCTATGTCGTACAAGTTATATCATGTTACATGGCAATTGGCATAGTTTTTAAGGTCTTAGATTCTGCTTGGTATAATTTTTGGTCTACTTAAGTCTGCCCAGAAAGTCATCTCGGTGCTTAATAATTGCTTTTGTGAGTGGGTTGCTCATTTTGCAGCTTGTGGATCAATCTGGTGCTGCTGCTGTTTCAGATTCAAGTGATAAATCAAAAGACAAAACTCTAGATCAAAAGGTTGATCTTCCGTTTACATTTTTTGTTTTAAATTAATTGGCTAAGTTTTGTTATTGGCTTATTGATTCGTTTGTCATTATACGATATGCAGACTCTACGAAGGCTAGCCCAAAACAGGGAAGCTGCAAGGAAAAGCAGACTGAGGAAAAAAGTAAGTCTTCCCATTTATATTAAATTTGAGCTCTTCATTCTTTTTAATTTTTTTTTTCATGTATGAGAAACTTTATGTGAATGAAGATAATTCAAACTGGTTTTCCTTTTCTTTCCAGGCATATGTACAGCAGCTTGAAAATAGCCGACTGAAGCTAACTCAACTCGAGCAAGAACTGCAACGAGCACGCCAGCAGGGGATTTTCATTTCGAACATTGGAGATCAATCTGTTGCTGGGACTGCAAATGGTTTGTCTTTCTTTGATTTCCTCTGTCATATAATTTTTGTTTGATTGTACCGATGAGCTAACAGTGCTGGCTTGTAGAATGTGCACTACGATTTTTTTTTTTTCCTGTCTTTTTTCTGTTAAACTCAATATGCTACGAATGCGTTATAATTACTAGTACTAAATATTAAGTAGTTTGAGTGTCAATAAATTGTATTTATGAAGGACTTTAGACTTGTGATTGAGAGTAAAAAGATTCTGTAAATGCATAGAACTTGATAATGAAGCCAGTGTGAAGACAACATAAAAATAGGCTAGATAACGAATTCACCCTAAGGTTTAGCCTAATTACACTATCAAAGTCTAATTACCTTTTAAATTAGATATTTTTGGAAACATACTCTTGAACCCCTGAAATATAGATATTTCTTCACAGTTTTCTTACCTAACCAAATATTTCCTTGTAGCTTCCCCTAAACATCGAATTTCTTTCAATTTACCTGCTGAACAAATAAAAGTTCACACACTATGCAAAATATTATGGGAAAATGAGTTGTTTGATTTTTGAAAATTACGATGATGCAGGTATACTGGCTTTTGACGCAGAGTACGCACGGTGGATGGAAGATCAAAACAGACTGATTAGCGAGCTGAGGACAGCTGTCAACGCGCATGCGGGTGACGTTGAACTCCGTACTATAGTGGACAACGTGACTGCACATTTCAACGATATTTACAGGATGAAAGGCAATGCGGCAAAAGCCGACGTATTTCACATATTGTCCGGAATGTGGAAGACACCGGCCGAGAGGTGTTTCATGTGGATAGGTGGTTTTCGCCCCTCTGACCTTCTCAAGGTAACGTGGGGTCCGCTTATTATCTGATTTCATCAGTATGTTAAGGCTATGTTTGGTAGCCAAATAAGCTAGCTTATAAGCTTTATGTATTCAAATAAGTCTCGTTTGTATGCCGAACGAGCTTTTTTAAAAAGCTCGAGCTTATCTCATAAGCTTCTTTAGGTAGCTTTTCAAATAAGCTAGTCGATTTTTTTTTATTTCAGCTACCTTATCAGCTAATTTTACCAATTCACTTTTATCATATAAGCTAGCTTTTCAACTATAAGCTCGAAAATTCCATATAAGCTATAAGTTAGCTTATCAGCTAGTTTTACCAAACATAGCTTTACAAACCACACCACAAAATTTTACACAAGTCCGTAAAATATTTTTGTCTTTATCAATCTCCGTGCAGTAAGAGAAGCCGAACACTTGGATTGGCTAATGCGGCTCCGGATAGCCATGGGCATGGCTTACTGCCTGAGCCACATGCACCAGCTTAAACCCCCACTGTCCCACAGGAACCTAACCTCTTCATCTGTCTACCTAACCGAAGACTACGCGGCCAAAATCTCCGATTTCGTCTTTTGGGATTCTTCTCCCAACAGCCAAACGGCCCCTCCAGACAATGTCTACAGCTTCGGAGTCATACTTTTCGAGATGATGACTGGTCGGCTCCCTTACTCGGCCGGTGGTGGAGGCTCGGGGATCGAGGATTGGGCGGAGGATTATCTCACGCGGGGGGACTCACTGAAGGATATCGTGGACCCCAAGCTGGCTACGTACAGCGTGGATCAGCTGTTGGGGATTGGGGATGTGATTCGGGCCTGCGTGGAGCCCGACCCAATAAGGAGGGTGTCCATGAGGGAGGTTTGTGAGAGGCTGAAGGGGGTGACAGGGATTGGGCCTGATGGGGCTGTCCCGAAACTTTCGCCGCTTTGGTGGGCCGAGATCGAGATTATGTCCAATGATGTTAGTTGAAAAAATTGTAAGTACT